TTTCCAATTTATTAGAAATATAAACTTCTCACAACTGTATGTTTATGAAAAAATTTCAGAAATTTGTATAACGTCCTTCAGCAGCTTTGAGAACATCAAATTATTTTCTTATTGAGTTAGTCCAAAAAACTTTTTTTCATCAAAAATATACAAATGACATGTCTATAGATTCAGTTTTTCATGGGGATTACGAATCTACTATTATTTTTTGTGAAAATATGTACGTGAAGAATGAAAATCATCAAATACGAGTATATTTTGACATGTAATTCAAGACATTTCAATAATTTCATAGGCAATAATTGCTCTAATTACATTCATAAATCCAGTTTTTGCTGAGCATTAATTTGATATAAAATACTTTGTGATATCATTTATACTTAAAGTTGTAGGAGAGAGGCGTAATGGTTTTGTTATACTCTGTACTTTGTCATCCTATTTTGAATGAATAAAGCATCTGATTAAGTAACCATTTCAAGTGATAAATCGTTTTTTGAATTCAGACTCAACATATAACGTAGACTCTAGTGACACATCAAAATACCCAGAAGGTTGAATATCCATAGACTTTTTCTCTAGAGCTATAGCTATTTTAGACCATAGCACCGTATGTACCAAAATTTTGAATGGAGAGTATTTTAGTCCATAGATAGACCTACTTGTAAATAGCATATTCGAAAAATTTTAGTTCAAAAGAATACTTTCGTCGCGCAATATGAATGATTTTTGAAAATTGAACATCTGACGAAGACAATATTCTATTGAACTGAAATTCTCAGGACATCTGGAATCTACCTTATGTGTCAAATCCAAACTCAAAAACGATTTATTGCTGTACTTTCTAACTTCTATGTTACAAAGAAACAAAAATAAAGAATCCAACTTCGCTTGTAATCAAACATATAAACTCACTATGTAATGTATCATGAAACATTTTCATCCAATCATTTGTACAAGTTGTATTCATTTGGGCATTAAGATGTTTGGAAAAATTACCTCTTGGATAATGACTACTTGGTGAAATAATCATTGTCAATGCTAAATCAATATCACTCATTCGTTTATATTGATTTAAAATTGTTTTATTTTTATCTGGTATACATGTTGTACCATTAAATTTATAATTAATTTCCTGACAATAAATATCACGACATCGACCAGTAGTTGGATCAAATAATTGTCCATGTTGACAAAGACCATTATCGACATAAACAATTTGTGATCCTATTTAAGAAAAAAATAATTTCAAAATAAAATATATGGATTGAAAATACATTCTATGTCATTATATGTGTGGGTGTGTTTTTTTTTTTTGAATAATTTATCAATTTGATTTGTATAAACTTACCTTGCATAATTTTAAATGATGTTGTACCGTCATCTTTAAAATTCATAAGCAATGTCAAAGATTGAGGTACATTAGCACGATTTCTATTGTGGCCTACTCTTAGTTTAGTAGTGTTATTAGCATATTTTACATTTTCACTTGAAACTAATGTAAGACTAGAAGAACTTGTTTCAGATATTTGATTTGTAAGTACAAATGAAATTTGAAATAAAAATAAATAAATGAATACATTCACCATCATCATTGTTGCATATCACTTGATGAAAAGAAAATTTCTTAAAATAAAAAAAAAAAACGAAAAATACAGTGTTATCGTCGATTTTTAGAAACTTTTTTTTCTGTTTTGCTTGCTGTTTTCGAATAGATGATTGTCAATATAGGAGCGCAGGCACGAGAATCCGAACAGATGTTCGTTATTTCACAGAATAACTGATTAGCTCTTTTTACAAACATATATGTTCGTATTCTTGTAAAATCGTACTGTTAGAAATCGAAAAAATATTTTTTTTTTTAAGAATCATAGATATTCTGTTTGAGTGCACAGAAAAAATACTTTATTTGATTGATTACATCACTCATAAATCAGATATTGATAAATCCAATCAGATTTTAACATGTTATATTTGTTCTTAATTTTATTGTGAAAAATGAAACGATAATAAATATTATAATTTTTAATAAAAATAATTAAAATCATTGACTTATTTCTAATATTAAAATAATGTCTTTTTTTTAATATAGAAAATATGAGTATCTAGTTTATCTTTCGATACAATTCAGATATAAATTTTTTTGTCGTAAACTTTAGACTACCGCAGTTGCAAGAAGTTCCGCTTTCAGGTGAAAATTAACTCAACTTTAATCGTTTAGTTTCACAGTTGATCAAAAATAGAGCACATTGAACTCTCTGATACCAAGAATCAATCAAGATTTGATCGGCCTTCATGTAGAGGAGCTAGAAAATTGACATAGATTTTTTCTTCAGATGAGAATATCTCAACATATAGAAAACAAATCTCATGACGCTTGGGCAGCTCAGTAATGCTTCTATTACCAATAAAAATCCCATATCAAACAATTTTAGTTTGCCTAATTAATGAAATATTCTTTTGATAATATCCACATGAAAATTGATCGAAACCGTCGAAAAGTGACTCATATTTCCAGTTAATTTTAACTATTTATCTTGAAATTTTTCCTAATGAGTGCCCGGTTCTAATTAAATTTTTTCTCAAAATTTCACGATGACAGCCAACGATGGAGAAGAGATCCATGCTGAGACTGTCCCAGACAATGGAGGCTTCCTTGTGCTGCAAGATCACAACAGATTGAAGTACCCTATCTTTAACACAATATACACGTGAGAATCTTTATTTGTCAATAAGAAAATAGAGATTAACGTATTTAAATAATGGAAAATTAATAAAGTGTCAAAAAGACTTTTTTCGGTTCTACAGAAAAAAAAGTCAGTGTTTTCATTGTAAACCTTTTACATTAAGACCTATCGATCTTGAATTTCTGCTTGCAATCAGAATCTACCGAGCTCTATTTATAGTCAAAAGACGAAAGGATTGATGTTTATATACTTTTTATCGAATAGCGATACTTCTTGCAACTACTATATTAGAATCTGAGACCAGCGAGTACATTATATTTGTACTCTTTTTCTTCTACCACAATATATAGTTATAATATAGCAGTTATTAACATGATAATTTATAATCCTTTATAGTAATAAATAATATTCAAACGTTTGAAATGACATTTTGAAAGAAAAATCATTAAGTTATCATAATACTGTTAGTCTTATTTAAAATAAACTTCATCAATAATAAAAACTCAAAGTATTTATTCAATGAGATCCCGGTAAAAAAAAAACTGCTTTTCAACATTTTGTGTACTTGAATATCGATGAATATTGCACAACAAATAGATCTTTTCGATGATTCAATTGTCGTAGAGTAGCATATCAATTTAAATGGAAGACGATAGACGTCTGTTGCCATATATAACTTTCAACAACGAACATTTGATTTTTACCCTCGATGGTGCACCAGATTTTGATTGTTGGAAAGAAAAAAGAAAAACTTTTTCGTGCTTATCATTAAGTATGCAATTATCGGCTTTTAATTGTATGTATTTGCCGTTGGCCAAATATATGAATCAGTCGGTATGAGTCAAGTAAATTTTTTTTTTCTTGATATTCTTACAAAATCACAAATATAATTTCTTAACATCAAGTTTATGAATCATAATAACAAACTAATTGAATATTGGATACAACTACTAAATGTCAAAATACTGTTGAATTTCATTTTTTTTTTAAGCTGAGATTAATGATGACTATTGCATAAACTAAAGATAATACTTGAAGTATGTGTATACGTGCACCATATTTTTTCTTTTATTCCGTTGATCCTGTGAATGAGCACGAGTGTGCTTTTACTTTATCTTTCATTGACCTCGAATACAATTTTACGAGTCGTACATCACACATATGGTCGATGCCAAACAATCCATATTCATTTTGTTCGTTTCTTTGGATTTTTTTTCTTACATTCTTGATGTAAAGTCAAGGTTTTTACCAACAGAATAAGAATAAAAGTCAATATGATCAAGATATTTCTTTTTCTTTTTTTTTCTTTTTTTCATTTTATCTTCTCTTCATTCTCATATACGTATCTATTATGTTCAATTATCAACTAATCGTAAGTCATATATACATATTGACCCTTCTCTGGTACTTGAAAAAGAAAATTGAAATTTGTAATTACACCACGATGATTTCATCGATTCTTTGTTTCTTTTTGACATATTCACAGTCATTGAAAAAGAACGAGAAAAAAAAAGAAAATGAAAGTGCACAATAAGTGAACTTTGTCTTAAAAAAGAAACCACCGACCCAGTTATTATTGCCGCGTGAATACATACTAGATTTATCGAAACAAAGACAAGTACTAAGCTTTATATATGTAATTAAAGGCACACCACGGTATTCTTTTCTTCCGGTGGTAAGTACATCGACTTTGGAAAAAATCGTTATGGACCGGTGTATTTGTAACAAATCAAGAAGAAGAGAATAACAGAAAGAAAGTAAAAAAAAAAAAGGGAATGAGTTTTACATACATTCATATATCACAAATGGATATTAGATGCTTGCATCTCATCTTCATCACTTTCGATTCTCCTTCTTTTTGTATTCTGTAAAAATCTACGTAAAAAAAAGAAAGACAGAGAGAGAGCGAATGCCCATTCATTCACTCATTATAGAGTTTTGCTGTTGCAAACTATTGCTCTTTACCCTCCTCCCTTTCGTTCCATTTCTTCCATGCTGCCTTCGTCATAACGTTTACTCGATCTGTTCTGTTCTCTCTCTCTCTCTCTCCTTTCTGTCTTTGGTATTCTCCTTTCTTAACTACTACTATACACTATGCACGCATAATAATATCTACATTCTACACACACACACACACACACATTTTTCATCTTCTCATCTTACAACACGCTTGGCTGTGCAGTCGTTCTTATGTGTTTTTCTTTTCTTTAAACTTTTATATAAAAGAACAAGAGAACAAAAAAAATAAAAGAATACAGCAACGATTTGTAACTATTATTATTATTAATCTTGATTTTTTTAAGATAAAAAATAGCAATGCCAAGTATGGATTCAAATTCATCTTGTTATTCTTCATCAGAGTCATCAACATCTTCTCTATCATCTCCACGAGTACCAATAACTGATATAGTACAACAACAACAACCAATAAGATTAGCAACAACCACAATTCCTACTACTACAACGCCAATAGCACAATCGCATTTATGTGTTACACGGTACAAAACAGAATTGTGTCGACCATACACAGAAACTGGTAAATGCAAATATGGAGATAAATGTCAATTTTCACATGGAATAAAAGAATTAAGAATTTTAATGCGCCATCCAAAATATAAAACAGAATATTGTCGAACATTTCATACAAGTAAATCATAAATATATTAATTATGATTAATGATTGGCATTGGTGTTTTTCTTCTAGATGGTTATTGTCCATATGGTCCTCGATGTCATTTTATTCATGATATTCATGAAGCACGAATAGCAATAAATACAAATGAGTCAATATTACGACGACATTCCGATATACGAACTAATCAATCACAACATAAATCAACAACTAGGTCATTATTTAACATCATTTTTAATGACAAAACAATATATATATATATATATATATATATAATATTTTATTTTCTCTTATAGAAATCGGATTAATAGTGATTATACAAAATCTTCAGTTCAATCTTATAATTCATCAAAATTTCCTTTTTCATTTGAAGAACTTTATCATGCTTTACCTTCTTATGATACTAGTGATGTTTTTCAACATGATCAACAACAACAACAAACTTGTCCATCTGTTTTTCCTATAATAACAAATACATTTACACGTCGTACATTTTCATCATCATCATCATCAAATAGCAGTTTAACTCCACAATATATTTAAGCTCGTCTTCAATCTTTATTGCTCTCTTCTCTTTTTTTTTTCATCTACCGTCCGTTTGTTTGCTCTCGTGCTTTATATACATATATATATACATATATTTATAGATACATGTTCTTTATTTCCATCGGTTTCTTTTTTATTAACTATTTCATTCATACAATATTACATACGGTGCTCGTTTACTATTATTGTCCGGCAAACATGCGCGTCTTATCAGACATTACACATAATGCTTCGCACAGCATTTTTCAATTTTTTATTCATGCCAAGAAACAAAAAAAAAAACATGTTCGTACACGTTTTGAATGAATATATGTGTGCGTGAGTATATCGAGAATGATAATCATATCTACTTTTTGTTAAGAATAGTGACTAATATGCGAGAGTAATAATAATAATAAAACTAACGAATATGTGTGTTGCCAATTGACGGCGAATAAATTTATTGAATCGAATAGATATGGTAATTATCTAATTTGTTGTTATTTTTTATATTTAATCGTACAACAATATTTGAATTTGATAGACAAGAATAAAAAAAATGGGTATTTATGCATTACAGGAAAAGTGACATTTTTTCTGTATTTTCTTAATGTCAAGAGACAAATGAAGAATTCAATTTTTTGCACTCCAACACTTCTGTTTTTTTTCTTCTTATATTACATACATTTACCATTCTTTTTTTTTTCATCTCAATTGCTTTCCTACTTGTGTACAACATATATATATATAATCACAAGAAGATTTGATGATTGATAAAATAATATTTTTGCTTCAAGCGTACACATCTACGTTTTCAATTGAAACATGCCATCAGTATTGAACTTTGTATAAGGAAGGAAAAGTTGATGAAAGACAAACATAATCATGCATACAAATACACATACAGTGAATTTTTATTTCACTATACTTCAAATTTCAAGAGTTTCTTTTTTTTTTATTTCATTCTCTTCAACATTTTTTATTGTAATAAGACGTTCAGATCTTATAATAGAAGTCTTCAACATGTTATCTTTCTAGTTTTTACCCTTATCTGATAAGCGTATGTTGGATAATATAAACATTGGTGACGCATATGTCATTGACGTTCTATGCGTACATTACTAAAAAACTATAAAAAAAAAAGGAACTTCCTAATGATAATAAGACATCGAGTTGTTCATTAATTTATAGAAGAATTATCCGACAACAACGATGAAAACATACAATTTGTCCTTGAAAAAACATACTAATTCTCTGATTCATCAATTATGCGTACTAAAAGAACGATAATGAAAGAACGTGACATGGATACCAAATACAGAAAAGGAAAGATAAACTTATCAATAAAATACATCGAAGTCTAAATCAAGCAATGAACCATATAGATCATAAATGTTGTGTCTATGTAAAAAAAAAGATTGTAAATTTTTATAACATTTTTGTGTAAATGAAAAAAAAAGCTATAAGAATAATTTAATGACAAATTTCTATGTGTACCAAAGGTATTAAATGCACTTATAAAGAAATAAATATGCATCATATGGCAAAAAGCCTACAATAACAACATTAAATAGTGCGGTATTACACATGACCATCAATTGGCTACCTTAAATTGTTTATGAATTATTTTGGTAAAGAATTTATATATGATCTAGTTGTATATGAGTTCTCAAACAAAAACAAATAAATTGTAAATTTTTGTTTTTAATATTGTTATGTAAAAAAATAAAACTTTGTATGACTGTAGGTTTTTTAATAATTAAAAGTGAATCATAATGTCAGATGTCTATTTCTGATGTCAACTCATATGTGAGTGGATTTAACCAACTGAGAAACTTTTCTCTTATGAATAACAATGCAAACAAAAGCAGAAGAATTTTCATTAGTGTTTCAAAAGTACAATAAAATAATTAAGTGTCAAAAAAGAAAATGAAATATTTTTTTATAGAATAAAAACGTTTATAAATTCTGTCACAAAAAGAATTAAGTATATTATTTATCAATGATGATATGAATAAAATTTATCTTTTATTCAATAGATAATCAAAGTTGATGATTTCAATTCGTTTATTTAACTAAATAAAAAAAAGATTACTATTATTAGATGACAGATGGAAAATTAATCAATAAATCTTTCGTGTATTTTTTCTTTAAATAGACAATAACTTCTTTCATCACTGTTGTATAAAAAAATATTGATTAATGCTGAATTCTCTTAGGACAAGAGTAACATTTTTCTTTACAGTTGCGTTTATAAAGATAAAGTAGCAGTTAAAAGGTCTGTGGTACATCTTGTCAATATAAATATTAACATTTTCTTATGTAATATGTTTCTAAAAAAAAAATTTTTCATTTACAACAAAAGTAATTTCATAATTTTTTCTATTTTAATATAATAGGAATTCCTTAAGAATTCTAAATAGAAATATTTTTAGAAAATTATCAATAGATGTCATACATCTATATAGATATAGAAAATCATTTTCTTTATTTTTCGTTAATATGTTAACCAATACGATTCTAAAGAAAGTTATCATTTAATTTATTTCTCTAAAAACTGAACTCTTATCTCAGCTGGATATATTTTATTGTTTAAATTGTTTTTCATACCATAAATTAATTTTTTTTTAAAAATCTTTATCATGTCTGAAAGTCTGAGAAGTCGTTTGATAAATCCTACTTATCAAAATAAATTTATTAATCAATTAGAACAACAATTTACTAATATTACACAGTTATTATATACGACTAGTGTATCATGTACTGAACTTGATCGAAGAGTATTACCCTATATTGCTGATGATATTATTTTTAAAGATCCGTGGCAAGAAGGTAGCAGTAAACAACTCTATCGAATTGGAATGAAGGGTAATTGATTTGATTTGTTTTGTTTTTTTATAATAAAAATTAAATTGTATCCTCTAGGTTTCCACAATATGTTTCATTTTACATTTGATATATTTCAATTAAATGTTAAATTGAATAATGATAAAACTACAGGTCGTTGTATTGTTGATGGTATTATGAATTTAGAACAATTTTCTTGGATTTATACATATCCATTACGTTCAATATTGACTTATGAATTTCGTTTATTGAATAATGAAAATGATGATGAACCACAATTTGAAATATTTCGACATGAAGAAATGTGGTTAGTATATTTTATCTTAAGTTTCATATTTTCTTTTCTTTTCTAAATTTATTTATTTCTTATATTATTTTAGGTCAGTGGCAGATATGATTGTTGGAATACCTGGTGTTGGATGGTTATATCAAAATATTTTTCGTCGAGGATTTGGTTATTTTTTTGTTGGTCTTTCAGCATTGAGCTGTTATTTTCATGATCATAGTATCAAAACAAATAAGAAGAAAGAATAATAGTGTGATTTTTTTCAAGCAACCTGTGATGAGTTGTTTTTTTTTCTTGATATTTATATTTATTCGTGCTAGTACCATTTGTGAACGGTAATTTGTCTTTCAAAAAAGAAAAAATAAACTAAGCAATTTTATAATATATTAATTCATAGACTTTTTTTAATTTTCAGATAACGTTTTATTATTTTATAAGAAATTTATTAAAAAAATATTCAAAACATAAATTATAACACAAATTGTCAGCAATAAAAATATCAAGAACAATTATTATTACTGCTGTTTGATCAACGAAATGATCAATTGATTTATAAACGTATGACTTCTTTATATTAAAGAATGTTTTTCCAATGAATTATGAAATTCATTATAATTACCCATCATTTACCATATCTATATATCCGACTATCATGCATTATGTTGGCATAAATAACTGGTACATGTTATATTTTTTTTCTCGATTATATTCATTTATTTGTTGCAGACTAATTTTTTAAATATGTAAAAATTCGATCTAGATTATATGAAACAAGAAAATGTGATTAGATCAAGTAAAATAATTGGTAATTGATTGGTTGTAGTTTTGCACAGATTTGTACACTAATAAAATTGACTTATATTTATTGTTATATAATTTCAAGAAATATAAAGTTGGTTATTTTAGATCGTCTTTATGATTCCATTACTACGTCAACGTTGTCCATTATTTTTACGCTCAACAATTATACGTATTCCACCAACGACAGTTTATGTTAGTAATACTTCAAATAAAAATTCATATTCACTTCCTCGAACATTATTCAATATAATACCAAAACCATTCCATCCTTATGTTCGTTTAAGTCGTATTGATAAACCAACTGGATCTTGGGTTATATTTTTACCTGGTGCATGGAGTATTGCACTTGCTGGTACAACATTAACAAATCTTTCATTAATTGGTCTATTTGGTATTGGAACAATATTAATGCGTGGAGCTGGTTGTACAATAAATGATCTATGGGATAAAGAATATGATCGTCGTGTTGAACGAACAAAATCAAGACCAATTGCAAGTGGAGAAATAACAATTCGACAAGGACTTATATGGGCAGGTGTTCAATTATCATTAAGTTTTCTAATACTAATTCAATTAAATTTTCCAACAATTGGTATTGGTATTTGTTCATTACTACCTCTTATTATTTATCCTATTATGAAAAGGTATACAAATTGGCCACAATTTTTTCTTGGGATAACACTCAATTGGTTAGTAAATTATTTTTACTGAATAAAAAAATGAACTTAATTTATTTTTGAAAAAAAAAACTATTAGGAGTGCATTAATGGGTTTTACAGCAGCAACAGGTGCTGTTTATCCATCTGTTATAATACCATTATATTTTGCTGGTATTGCTTGGACACTTCATTATGATACAATATATGCTCATCAAGATAAACGAGATGATTTAATTATTGGTGTTAAATCAACAGCTCTTCTTCTTGGTGAAAACACAAAATTATGGTTACGAGCTTTTTCCATTGGTATGATAACACATTTAATTACAGTAGGTTTAAGTGTTGATCAAACATGGCCTTATTATATTGGTTTAATGGGAGTTGGATATCATCTTCATCGACAAATAGAAACAGTTAATTTAAATGATAATCAATCATGTTGGAATACATTTGTATCAAATCGTATGACAGGATTGATGATATTTGTTTGTATTTTAATCGGAAATTTTTGTAAATAAATTTTATTAGTCATATGAATATATTCATATACAGTAGTGGCCAAAAGTCCCGACCCTAGAGGATCTCAGCCATTATAAGTGCTGGATGTCTGAAAATTTGTGTGCGCATACTCCGTCAAGAATGTAGGTCAGAGACACAATTCTGCCTCGATTGCTTCAGTATAAAGAGAATTATGATGGATGACAATGGATGACACATATTTCGCCTTTGAACTTCATAACTCTGGAAAAGCTGGACTTCGTAGGTCAGCTAATGGTTCATTGTGTAGCGCTGTGTTTCAGCTATCCACACAACTAATTTTATTGCAGTTTGTCAATTTTCTTTAGAATTATGGCCAATTTACTATGACCGATGATATGGAAAAAAATCCTCTGGTATCATTTTAAGACGGTAACTCAGTAACAATTTAGTGGATGAAGCTCAAATTCTTGCAAAAGCGTCTCCTGTAGTTGCACATTAGTGTCCATAAGTTTCATAAATGAACTGTGTACTGATGGAAAATAGCATGGCTATTACCATCGCATTGGTGAATCTGAGGATGCAGAGACATGCAGAAACGCCAATATTCGAACAAATGAACTCATATTTTGGTTTAAGAAAGATCATAGACTGAGCTCCAATTCCATGCAATAATATCAAAATTTAGTTATGTATTTGGTAAAAAAATAGTGTAAAATTGAGTGGACAGTCCTTTTTCAGGTTAAAAATCTCAATACAAAAACAGATACCATCTATCATAATTCTCTTTATACTGAAGCAATCGAGGCAGAATTGTGTCTCTGACCTGCATTCTTGACGGAGTATGCGCACACAAATTTTCAGACATCCAGCACTTATAATGGCTGAGATCCTCTAGGGTCGGGACTTTTGGCCACTACTGTATGTTGTAAGATTAGATTGTTTTATCTTATATGAATTCTTTATTAATAAAAACGAGTGTTCGCTTTTCACAAGTTAATTTATTTTCGATTCCTCAATGGTAATATATCGATTAATTTTGTTTTTGTTGAATCATATTTGTATATAGAATATTAAAATGTATGGGGTCGTACGACTATTGATACTCAACAAACCAATTGATTCGAGTCCTCTAGCAGAAATTTCAAGATAACATGGTTGTAGATTCAAGATTTTTCTGTTTTTTATGAATTTGATTTTTGTTTTATAAAAGAATCTAGAGATGTTGGATTAGCATTAGCATTGCATTAATTTTAATGCTAACACCAATCTTTTCTGCGACGATCCTAAGACAAAAGTATTACACATTGTATTGATTAATGTAACGTTAAAGTGAAGCAGCATCCCTGACTAGTTTTAGTCAGAGATACTGCTTCGCTTCAGCGGTACACTAATCAATACAAAGTGAAATACTTTTGTCTTAGGATCGTAACAAAAAAGACTGGGGTTAGCATTAAAATTAATGCGATGCTAATGCTAATGCAGCATCCCTAAAAGAATCTATTAGGTCTTTATCCCGTGTACCTCGATATATGTTTAAAGAACGACGTTGTCGAATATTTGTATGTGCTCGTAATGCAATGCAATCAGGAACAAATAATGGAAAGTTGAATAGGATACAAAAGAATGTTGGAAAAATCCATTAATAGATTGAATATCATCGTTAGTATTATTATTAATAAAAAAGAATATTTCTTTGTTATCTTTTTTTCAGTTTTTTTGTAGGTCTGATCCTCATTCATCAGTTATCGTTGAATTTGATAATAAAGAAGATGTAATTATTTATTGTAAACGAATGAGTTCGTATGACTTTCGTTTTGTTTTTTAATCTTATTTTTTTTGGATACTTAATGTAATAATTCTAGGTTATAAGTATGAAGTTGTCGAACAACCATCAACATCTCTTTGTAAAAAAACTTATGGAGGAAATTTTTCTTCGAACAAAAAGAAAACTCGCGTTTCTGTCAAATAGAAATATATGTCATGACTTCTTGTCTTTTTTTTTCGTTTACTTTGATTGTTAAAAAAAAAGGTTATTTATCTTTCGTGTCTTTCACATACGATATGTCCATTGTATATATAATTGTATTGTATTATCATCTTCAATAGCAATAAATGTCTTTCGAAGTTTTGTTAAATACAAGAAGATAAAAAATAGTTTTCACTTTAAATATAGCAAAAAATAGGAAAAACAAAAGACGACTAAAAGGTTTTGACTGTAGAACAGGACACATGTCGGTATCGAATGATGCATACTGTATCAAGTCCTACTGCACACCGTTAACCAGGCAATAGATGACACCATCTATCAAAATGTTAATTCATATGCAATGAACAGAATTTCATTTGAACTCGATTAGAATAGCTTGGACAATTAAGATTAAAAAGAAAGTTGATCCAAAAACAAATTAAACAATCATTAATTTTTTTTATCGCATGTAACAAAAATCATTTAATCATATCAAATCAAAGCTCTATTCAATGCTTAAAACTGAAGGTGATGGCAAGACTAAATGAATATCTACATTCTCATTTCCTCATCCTAAATCTTCTTTTAATCTGTGATGCAACAGTAATTGCAACTCATGTTTTTGTCGTTCAGAAACATTGTAGAAAGTTCAGTCTTTTTCATGTTGAAAAAAGCAAAGTTTGAGCTTCATAAAAAACCATAAGGATTAACTTGGAATGAGGAAAAAAGTTCTTCAAACGTATCTCTCACCACAGATGGAACCGGTATTGGTTACTGGCCATTACCCGTGCCCCTTATTATGTCATAGAGGATGCGTTATGAAACTTTGTTGAAAGTTGACAACGTCCTCTTTCTCTCGTATGAAGTCTATTTGTTTTTTTTATAACAGATTACGTTTGACACTATATAATTATAGAAATTAAAAGTGTTTTTAACACTCTTTCAAATGGTGTATGATAGATTATGTTTTGATTCACTATACGATTGAAGCGCTTTCCAACATTGAACGAATTTCCATTTTTGTGAAACAGTATAAAATTTTCAACAGATTCAAATTAATTTTAATCTTTACTAAAATATTTACGTTTTGAATAATGAATTTTTCTCAATGTAGAATAGTGTTTTCTATCAAAACAAAGCTTTATTTACTGTTAAAGAATTGTTGACGAACTTTCTAAATTATGAAAGTCGATAAAGTTTTTCTTCAGATTCTAGAAAAAATATAAAGAAAACAGTATGCTGCAAGAGCTCTTTTGACAATGTTTCATATCGAGTTTTTTTTCTCACTCAAAGCTGATCTCAGAAATTTTCTTTTTCTTTGTTTTTTTGAAGTTCGGACTGTACTCTTTCAATAAGAAATAGAATGAACTTTCTACGATATTCCTAAACGAAGAACCACGGGTCGAGATTTTGACAATCACTTTTATATCGTAAGTTATCCATTAGTAATGCTGTCGTTTCTGGTTTTATACTATGTTAATCTACAGATAAGTTGTGTTGGAAACTTACTTTCAATAAAGCAAAATCGAATGGAATAGAATAGATAAAAAGCTTCTTGCTCTGTATTGTTCCTCGGTTTTTATATTCGATCAAAAGTAAATCGATGTGGCATTTTCCTGTCGATTGAAAAAAAAACATGTGACTCTCGTTTTGCTTAGTACGATTGCTCGACTTTGTGTTGAGTTGTTTTAAGTATGTTGGAAAACTTATTTACTATTGTTTATAATTCGCGAATGATTTCTTCGCTTATTTTATTCATGTATTTTGCATTCGTCCAAAACGAAATTTGTGTAGTCGAAATATTACTTGAGAGGCAAACAATCAATGAATAACTCTTTCGTGTGTATTATTCATTGATCTCATATTCAATTTTAGTTAATTCTGTCAAAAAATTAATTGATAATCGAGTAATGTGTGCATTCACAGCTTGTCGTTATTCCTCAATATAGTGACCATCAATGTCTTTATAGAGTAAAGTGTGTGATGAACAGAAAGGCGTTACATATTGTTAGTTTCTTATTTCTATGGATTATGGACACTGCTCGCTACGATTTCTCGAAATAGAAATATTTGAATATGTACTTCAATAAATCGAATATGATTGAAATCATTATTTCGAATTTTGTTTAATAATAAATGAATTATCTTTTGTTATTTGTAAAAAAAACATAACATGCAAATAAAAATCAACAAGAAATATTGAAGGCTTGAACTCGAGTATTACTTAGTTTCTCGCCTAGGGTGTGCGTGTGAGTATCAGTCTTCTCTTCAGGAACATCCACATCTTCGTGCGACTTTTCTACGATGACCATATCCTATTGTAAAATTCCAACAAAAACATTGTAATTCTATAAAGAAAGACTATGAGCCTGAATCGTTTTGAGATTATTCTAGTTTAGATAATCATCTAATTAGAAGAAAGACTGGAAGGGAACTGATACCCTCTAGAAATCTTCAAGGCTCTCCTAAGAAAATTGAACACACTAGGAGTGCTGATGTGAGCCTCCTCTAAAGAGGACATTCGGGTTGGTGATCATCTTCTCCTCACAGAATATTTTCTGGTTATGCCACTAAGTGCAGAAGTCTTCTCTGTATGCTTAAAATGTGAGCTCAAAAGTAATGAATCATTTTGTACAGCTACTTCGTCTCAACATCAAAACTAGTAACCCATGACTACGAAGAAGAACAAGAACACAAAGGTAGTATGGAGTGTTAATGAGTGTGAGTTTTTTATAGATTTTCTGTATTGAATATATCGTATAGAATAGTTAACGGTGATTGTTATTTATCAACAAAGTATTTCTAAGAAATTACAATCTTTGAAAAATTTTCTATTTGATACATTGATACGATTGCAAAGAAATACTCTGGAATATGATTATTTCCTCATGAAACTGTAGCATGATTCGTTTTATTACATACCACATTATTGTCCAATAAAGTAACTTCTTGTTTTTGTTTTTCCAATGAAATTTTCAAAGTATTTGTTCATTCATCTGACTTTTTTTTAGAGTTTGTGAAATCGATATACTTGTGATAAACTACAATTTTTTTATGAACACTTTTTAGTGT